TTCCTTTTGTATAAAAAACTGTAGGGGCAAAGGTTCCACTTTTTAATCTTGTTTTATATTAATTTTGGCCCTTTTTAAAAACTTTCTGCTTTTGTGTTCATCTTAAATTTTTTTTGTTTTTTTGGTTTTAGTTCTTGTTACAATTACTTTTTAGGTTATAAACATCGTTAATTTGCTGGGAAATGTAACCAGTATCCATTTGATTGGGTAAGTATAAAATGGGGTTCTTCTACATCATTTTTTTTATTGTTTTAATTTTTGTGGGACCATTTTAATTTGGTTTGTTATTAAATAGTGTTTTTTGTTCTCTAATAACTTTATTTCTTTCAATGTCCATTTTGCTTTTCATCATTTGCCGGCAGATATTTTATATTTCATTTTACATTTATTATAATGTACATTTGAAAGGGCTGCATTCATGGACTTTATTTCTTGTTTTTTTTTTGTGATTTTTTTTCTGGTTTGGGTCCCAGGTTAGTGAGATGTGGGAGAGAGTTGTTCTTTAGAGGGGGAGTTTTTGGAAAATCTTTTTCTACACAACACCATCTGCAAACCTATAGAAGGTGGCAGGGTCTACTCAACCTCCGGGGGGAACCCAAAAAAATTGAGTTGAATCCCAGCGTATTGGCCCCACTGCACTGGGTCGTTTCTTCCAACAAACTTTGGAAACCAAAGGGACATTCTGGCAGTGTTCATATGAGGGATGGGGAACCTAAATCCATCGGGCTGTTCCCCCCCCCCACCGAGGGTGGGAATTCAGGTCCAAACCCCACCAAACCTTGCTATGGTTCTTTCAAAAACCAGCCCATGGAGGGGTGGGAAGCAATTCCATTACACAGGGGTTTTTTGTTTGAAGGTGGGGAAAAACAAATCTCCAAATTTGTTTGTTCCATTCAAGGGGGATTCCAAAGGGCTTTAAATAGGAGATGGAACGGGGTACAAAGTTTTGTCATGAGTGTGAGGGCGTGGGGCATGTAAGGGGGAGGCAGATGAGCTGACCCGAGCAAAACATTTTGCATATCATCCCTTTGGGTTAAGGTAATAAATTGCACGCGCAAGTTATACTTTAGGGGGGGGGACTTGGTAATACGGGGCCCATTAAAAATTGGGCCCAATTGACTGTATTTACTAAAAAAGTAAAAACACACATTAGATTCTGTAGGCCGTGAGGATGTTTTTAGCCCAAAAAACATTTAGTTTAAATTTCCTCGGCAATCTAATGGCGCCCTTGATCCATCGGGGCAAGAACCAGGAAGAGTAGCGGTAGGTCCGATTGAATTTTGGGCAACCTTAATATAATAGGATCAACTTTTTCATTTTTCCAAATTTTAGCCCTATTGTACAAAAAATTGTTATTTCCTATATATTATTATTGTTTTCTTAAATTATGGAAAATCTATTCAGTGATTGGGTCCTTTAGCTAACCCTATCGTCCATCTTAAAAAATCCTGTTTTAAGGGGCGCAGCCAAAATGGTCATTGTAATTCAGCATTTTATTAAAAATACTGACATTGATGATTTTAGGGGGTCCTAACCCAACTTTTTCCCACTCAAAAATTGGGGGGACCTTATTGATTGTTGGATAAACTTTTAATGCACCATCTTCGCGAGCGAGCATTTTTTTTTTTTAAATTAAGTCCAAAAACTTCTTTTGCACAGTTTGTTTCTTTTACGTAGTAATTCTGAAAAAGCTTGATGAATTTATGGGTTTTTCCAGTTAAGATGCGTTTCCCCAAAAGACAGTAAGAATTGAATTTTTTATTGATAATATATTGATTAAATCAAAAAGTTTTGTTTAACTTTAAGGGGGCCATTATTAAGACTGATGGTCCCCCAAAACATTACTGTGGTCCCAAACCAAGGGGATACAGGCCTTGTAACAAGTATGATTCATTATTATAAATAAACCCATTTAAATTACCTATTCCTAAGCCCCAAGGATTTTGAAACTGATTGGAAAAATGTTATTTTTTTTTGTCTACAGCCGTGACGGTACCTTCACGTTTTAACTGTCATTGGGCAAAAGAAAGAAAAACCCAAAATTTTTATTTAAATTCCCTATTTATAAATTTTAAGCCGTGGGGAATACCGAGATACCATTTTCTCTTAAAAGAAAAAAAAAACCCCACTCCAACACTAGGGAATTTCATTCCAGAAATTATTAATCATTTTTGGCCAATGCAAGTATTAACCCCAAAGGCACCTCAAACCAATTGGTTTTTAACAATTAGTTTCCTTAATTATTTTACTAGATTTGCACATTTTTTCAATAAAGGAAAATTAAGGGGGGTTTTATCCCAGTCGATTGGTTTTGAAAATAAAGATCTAAACTAAATAAAGGGCAAACAGTTAAAGTTTATTTTCCCTACTGTCTGGGGGGTCTATTTCCTTTCCTTATCAACCACAACATGGGGGACCTGACAATTGGAGTTACCATTTACTCTTAAATATTTAATTGGTTGAAATCTCTTTTTTTAGGTTGACATGGACTTTGGCACCATTTGTCTGGGAAGGGTTACCAAACATGTTTCACCCACCCTGGAAGGGTAAGTGGCCGCAGTAGGCAGTGTGTCAGGTTCACGGGCCCTTTCGGGGATCAATTTTACCAGTTTTTATATATCCTGTCTGATGGTAGGGAATTTGGCAAAGACTAACCAGCGATCCACAAGGGGGGAAACCCCTTTTTTCTTTATGTTTGAATGTTTACAGTTTTGAAAAAAAAAAGCCAATTTACCCACCCACTGGTCCAGGGGACATATTTTGGAAGTTAGGTTTTAAAAAAATGTGTGTATTTTTTTTAATTTTTTTTTAGTATGTTTCAGGGAAACCAGTGTGTGTGTGTGTGTTAAAGGTTGGAGGGTTTTTAAAGTAAGAGTAAAAGATTATAAAGTATTAAAAAAACTTAAAGGTTAAATAGTTAATTTATTTCTATACATTTGTTTGATTAATAAACCCCTGATAAACCTAAATGGGTCACCATATGATTTTGTTATGTTGCAAAAACCCACTTGGCGAAAAACAGAAAGGGGTCTTAAAACGTTATTAAAGGTCAAGGGTTCTTTTTCATATTTGCAAATAATTATATCCGCGCCTCCACATTTGAACTCACTTGGTTTCACGGGAAATTTATCGATCGGACCTAAGTGTGTTGAGGCTTATAAATAAAAAAAAAAAAGAACGTATTAAAGATCAGTAATTTAATTTGGCCCCAAATGTTTTTATTTAAAACTTATTTGCCTTGTTTGAAGGGCGCATCGGGCTGGGCCACCAAGAAAGGTTTGGGCCATCAACACAGAGGTGGTTGGGTATTCATCTAAAACTAAAATATCGTGACTTTCCATTCGATAAAACTTAAATTGAAAAAAAGAATTTTATTTGTCAGTATTTTCAGACTAACCCCCTGCGCTATTGGAACATTATTTTACAATTAAAATTGGATATCTTGAAACTTTGCTGTGTACACTGTTTTCAAATCAGGGGTTTTTTGTGGAACAGGATAAATAAAAACTAAAGAGGGACCTGAAACCCTGTGTCTCTTAAGATTCATGGTGCTTTTCAAAAAAATCTGGGACCAAATTCAAGGGAAGGAGGAGGATATGCTTGCCACCATCGGGGTTTCATCAAAACAAAGTTCGTCATAGGCTGGGTTACGTTCTTTTGGGAAAAGCCTTTAGGAGTCAAAAACAAAAAACAGGTTGATGATTGTTAGGTTGGGGCCAACAATTGATGGGGTTTCCACCTCCCAAGTTTGAGGAAACCACACCACCAAAGGGGCCAGTCCAGGATGGTGAGGCAAAAATTCTTAAAAGGACCTTCCCGGAGTTTGCCTTAAACAAAAAAATTACGGAAAAGGGGAAAAAAAAAATTTTTGACACACCCACAACATTACCACTGGAACAATTTACCTGCTACTAACATTAGAAGCGGGGAGGTCCTTACTCCAGAAACAGGGGGGCAAACGTTTTTTTAATAAACCATCCCTCTATAAATTTCCGGTGGAAAGGTAACATTACTCTGCCAATTGGTCCTTCAGGTGCTGACGGAAATTCCTCATCGATTGGTCCTCGTCCCCTTGGGCCAGTTGTTATTTGGTCCAAAAAAATTAATCTTTAAAAAAAAAAACCCCCCCAAAAAAAACCAATTAAAATAAGTTTAGTTTATTTGTTTTTTGATTATTATGGATTCTAATAAACCCTGATGATGGTGTGTGGGGGGGGGGGGAAAGAAGTTGGGAGGGGGCGTCATAAAAGGCGTTTTTGAAAAATAATACCACCCATTTTCCCACAATACTTCACTTGATTTAAGTGTCCAATACTGTTGTGTTCACTGATACTGGGGGGGATAACACCCGCTGGGGACATTAAAATATCCAATTTTTTTTTACAGGCAAACCCTAGGTTTGGACAGAAGTTTAAACTGGGAACTCCACTGGGAAAACTATTAATTTGATTCATACCAAAAATAATTACCCAAATTAAAAAGGTCATTGTTATTTTCGATATATATCAATTGTATTCATTTTCAAAAGAGCGCGATCTTAAATTGTAAAAATATCTTATATTGGTTAGATAAAAAAATCAATAATCTTGTATTCATAAACTCACACCCAAAACCCAAATCTATCCCTCTACTGGTTAAACCATGGTTTGTGGGGAATGGGCTTGCTTGTGGGGGGGTACTGGTTATTTTTTTTTTGTTACATTTTCTTTTTAAAAAAAAAAAGAGTTGTTTTCCAAAAGTGGTTAGAAAACTCAATTTCCAACCTTTGGAACAACTTTTTGTATACGTTGACAGATACCCTTCCTTGTCAACACAGTTTGGCATGTCGGTGTCAGTTCGAAACAGTTCCTGTATCAATCATGTGACTTTACCACAGCGAAACCCGCATGACACGGACCCATCACTTCTTGACAGATTTTGACAGACACCTTATAAACTAAGATGCAACATGCACATAAATGGAAAAAAGTAATTCAGTATAACAAATGTATTTGAATTACTTGTGGCGTGATTTCTGCATTGCAGGCCCTCGGGAATAGAACTTGCACAGCATCTGGCCTGGAGCTAAAAAACTCCCAGACACCCGTGTCTTTCAGGCCTCTTCTGATTTGTTTCACCTGCTGGGTCGTCCGTCCAAGTACCTGTAAAAATAAACAAAATCAGCGGGTTCTACTAGGATACATTTACATGCTTTATATTCCAAAACTCATTAATCTCCATTCATCCATATTCTGAAAAAATGTTAGGGCTCCTTTTAATTCCCCTACTGACTAGCTCGGTGCTATTATCTCTGGTTTGTACTCTGGGCTTTAACAGAAAAAAAGCATGGAATTGTCTCTTTAAGAACAGGCCAAATTACAAGGACCATAATTGTAGATAGCTTACAGCATGGAGCAGTATTTTCTCCCTCAGCCAACACCTGTTGTTCAGTGTGACACCAGGCAGGTCCCAGGGCAGTGTCACAGAAAGAATCTGGGATTTGTCTTCTTCTGACAGGTCCTTGGTTCCTTCCAACTGATCAGTGACACCAGCACAGAAGAGCCAAATACAATATTTGTAATATAGGCAATCAAAAAAATAGGTGCCTGCCAATACATTTTTACAACAATTTGATAATAGTGCGGTTTGGAAACACTACATTATATTAATAAAAAATGTTACTCCAGACCAGTGCCAAGACATCCCGGACGTCCTGATCCACACAGTCTGATAGGGATAAGGTTGCCATCTCTTGACTGCCGCCAAAAAGTACATGGATGATTGCTGTGCTTAGGCCAGTGAGACATGGGCCCCCATTCAAGAATGAATGACCAACCATCCTTCCTGCAGTCACAAATAAATCACCCTCCAGGAGCTCCTGACTTGTTGAGGGGGAAT